TGATTTTGAAAGTTCGAAGGGTTGTAAAGATGCCTCTTCACAATACTTCCGACCAGTAGCTACAGTATAAGTATCAGATTTTGATTTAACAGTGTTTAAATTATTATGTACGTTTATGTTTTAATAACTGATAATGTTAACGAATGATAAAATCAAAGATAGATATTGCTAGTTACATGAGTATGCAAATTACATTTTAATTGGTAATTCATATTCCTTGTGTGCGTGACGGCGAGGTGTTGTCATAGTCAACAGAAACAGAATTGAAAATGATTCGCCCCACTTACAATTCGCCCCACTTACAATTCGCCCCAAAACAACCCCACTTTAGTGACAATTAGCCTAACTTTAAAACAGTCGTTTAAATCGACCTTAAGCTTATCAAAGTAACTGTACGTTGGTTTTATGGCCAAACAAAAAGTCTAGAAATAACAATGTAAAGTTGGAGTGGGGACGGAGCAAAAACATACTAATAAGCATGTGCATGGGTGTCAGCTAATAAGCATGACTCCGCCCAATGACCCCAACAAGAATGAAGTTGGGAATTAACAAGTTAAAATGGCAAGACACAGAGGATAAACACGTTAGTCAGTGGGGTGCAGGGAGGAATTTAGGAAATACAACAACAGGGGCACAAAAAGCAGCTGATTTGTGCCATTCGTGTTTTTCGCCCTGCAACCCCTGCCAAGCAAATGTAAGAAAATTAACAATTTTAAATGGCAGGGGGACAGAGCGAAAACACGGTAATTAGCGAGGGCATGGGGCAAAGTTCAATAAATAAAACTTTGCCACGAGCCAGATTTAATCAATAAAACGGTGGTATAGCTGGACAAACAAGCTAATTAGCAGGGGTGCGGGACGAAGTTAAATAAGTCAAACTTAGCTCCACAGTGCGAGATTTAAAAAGTAAAATGGCGAGGTTGCGGGACCAAAACACGCTAATTAGCGGGATAGGGCAAAATTTAATAAATAATACTTTGTCTTGCGCCTCCACTAATTAGCATGTTTTCTTCCTGAGACCCCACAAAACGAAAAGTCGATAATTAAACAGTTAAAATGGTAGGGGCGTGGAGCAACAACTTTACACTTCAAATTATAGACTTTGAAAGAATATTTTTGAATATCATATTTTTGTAATTACCAATATTTAATTATATATGACATTTTTGTTCTAGTAAAAGCATGCCAAAATATGCACAAAATTTAATGTTTGATTTTTTATGCCCCCGCCATATAATGGGCTGTTTCGTCATTCCTTCATCATCAGTTTCCGTTCATTATCTTAGTAACTGTTGCACACATTCAACTCAAATTTTACATATGGATATGTCGTGAGAAAATACAGGTCAAGTTCAAATTTGGTCATGGTTCATTGATTTTTGGCAGAGTTGTGCCCCTTTTACTTTGAAAATAATATGAAATTTTCAGTTTCCATTCATTATCTCCCCAACAGTATTACATATTCAACTCAAACTTTGCATATTGATATGTCGTGAGAAAATACAGATCTTTTCGAATTTGGTCATGGTTTGATGATTTTCGGCAGAGTTATGTCCCTTTTACTTTGAAAATAATATTAAATTTTCAGTTTCCGTTCATTATATCCCCAAAAGTATTACACATTAAACTCAAACTTGAGAAATGGATACGTCAAAGGAATGCGTAGGACAAGTTCGAATTTGGTCATGGTTCAATAATTTTTGGCAGAGTTATGTCCCTTTCACTTTGAAAATAATATGAAATTTTCAGTTTCCGTTCATTATCTCCTGTACGATTTTTACACATTCAACTCAAATTTGACATATGGATATGTCAAAGAAATGGGCAGGTCAAGTTTGAATTTGGTCATGGTTTGATGATTTTTGGCAGAGTTATGCCACTTTGACTTCGAAAAAAAAGGAAATTTTCAGTTCCCATTCATTATCTCCCTAACAGTTGTACATATTCAACTTAATTAAAGATATGGATATGTCATAAGAATGCATTGGTCAATTTCGAATTTGATCATGGTTGGATGATAGCTGACAGAGTTATCCCTCTTGAACTTTGAAAAAAAAATCAGAAATATTAAGTTTCCATTCATTATCTCCCCAATGGTTGTACACATTCAACTCAAATTTGACATATAGATACCTCTTAGGAATAAGCATTTCAGGTTTGAATTTGGTCGCAGTTCAATGATTTTGGACAAAGTTATCTCTCTTGAATGTTGGAAAAATTTTGAATTTTCAGTTTCAGCACTCATACTTTTGTGGAAATATATGCAGCCATTATTTTGGCTACAAATATGCAATATGCAATTTACAAAAGGTTAACACTGAATAGTTTCAGTGCCTTTATTAACTTTGTATAAAAATGGTTTGTGTTAACATTGAATAGTTTAAAGGGCTTTGAACTTGAAATGAAAAAAACAATTTGTGCAAACAAATTTGGAACTAAATATGATAACATATGAAATTTTGGCTGCATGTGGGGGCATCTGTGGCGTGACAACACATTTCTAGTTATTAAATTGAATTCTTTTTATAAATAGTTAAATATATCTAAATTTTTGAAAAATATGAAAATATATTTAATAGTTTAGTGATAGTATCACCAGTTTGTTACAGTAAAGTATAAGTATATGTAGCACTAACACCTTTATAAAACATTCTAATTACATAATTATGTATAATGCATTATACAACTTTCACACTTATTTAACTATGATCTTATCTGTTACATATCAACATGTTATCTATAATCAATGTCCTTTTAAGTTTTTAGCTCACCTGTCACAAAGTGACAGGGTGAGCTTTTGTGATCGCTTTTCGTCCGGCGTCCGTCCGTCCGGCGTCCGTCCGTAAACTTTTACTTTAAATGACATCTCCTCATAAACCACTAAGCCAATTTCATCCAAACTTCACAGGAATGTTCCTTTGGTGGTCACCTTTAAAAATTGTTCAAAGAATTTAATTCCATGCAGAACTCTGGTTGCCATGGCAACCAAAAGAAAAAACTTTAAATATCTTCTTTTAAAAAACCCAAAGAGCTAGAGCTTAGATATTTGGCGTGAAACATCTTCTAGTGAGTGTCTACCAAGTTTGTTCAAATAAAAGCCCTGGGGTCAAAATTGGCCCCGCCCCAGGGGGTCATTGATTTTCCCTATATGCATATAGTAAAAACTTAAAAAATCTTCTTTTAAAGAACCCATAGAGCTAGAGCTAAGATATTTAGCATGAAACATGTTCTAATGGGTGTCTACAAAGTTTGTTCAAATAAAAGCTCTGGGGTCAAAATTGGCCCCGCCCCGGGGGTCATTGATTTTCCTTATATGTGTATAGCAAAAACTTAAAAAATCTTCTTTGAAAAAACCCAAATAGCTAGAGTTTAGATATTAAGCATGAAACATCTTCTAGTGAGTGTCTACCAAGTTTGTTCAAATAAAAGCCCTGGGGTCAAAATTGGCCCCGCCCCAGGGGGTCATTGATTTTCCCTATATGCATATAGTAAAAACTTAAAAAATCTTCTTTTAAAGAACCCAAAGAGCTAGAGCTAAGATATTTAGCCATGAAAACATGTTCTAATGGGTGTCTACAAAGTTTGTTTCAAATAAAAGCCCTGGGGTTAAAATTGGCCCGCCCCGGGGGTCATTGATTTTCCTTATATGTGTATAGCAAAAACTTAAAAAATCTTCTTTGAAAAAACCCAAATAGCTAGAGCTTAGATATTTAGCATGAAACATATTCTAATGGGTGTCTACAAAGTTTGTTCAAATAAAAGCCCTGGGGTTAAAACTGGCCCCGCCCGGCCCCCAGAGGTGTCATTGTTTTTAACTATATGTGTATAGTAAAAACTTAAAAAATCTTCTTTTAAAAAACCCAATGAGCTAGAGGTTAGATTTTAAGCAGGAAACATCTTTTTGTTGGTGTCTACCAAGTTTGTCCAAATAAAAGCCCTTGGGTTTAAATTGGCCCTGCCAAAGGGGGGGGGAGGTCATTGTTTTTCATTATATGTGTGTAGTAAAAACCTAACATCATGAAACATCTTCTAATGGGTGTCTTCCAAGTTTGCTCAAATAAAAGCCCTGGGGTCAAAACTGGCCCCGCTCCGGGGGCCTATATACAGGTGAGCGACCTCAGGGCCATCATGGCCCTCTTGTTTTTATAATTTGATAAAAAAGAATATACATTTATAAAAAATATACATGTATATGTAGGCTTATAGCTGAGAATTCAGTCACAATTCATATACACTAACTATAAATAATAATTTTCCCAGGGAAATTATCAGTTAGGCGAATCGTTATATTACCCATAAACAAGAACCTTCCATCTCCTGGCCCTCATGGCCATTCCGGTAATATTCATTTGCCTATTTCAGAGTTTCAGTAGCTGTGATACTGGTTGGGGACCACCAAAACCGGACAACCACCAAACCCGGACGGCCCCAAAAATGCTTAATTTAGAATTTTCTTTGTTCAGTGGTGGTCAGTCATTTTTATATCAACAATAAATGCATGTTTCTTCTAAAATTAAATAAATAAATTTATTTCAACCTCCGTAAATGGTAATATTTTAATGTCTATTTCAAGAATGTTGACGTTGAAATTCGGGGCCAAGAAAGCAATGCCTGACCTCATATACCAGCTATAATCATTTGCAGAGTAAACAATAGAATATCCAAAACTTCAGCATTTGTTGCTGAAATATTGTATATCATGTTAAAAGTCAAAAAATCAAAGCACCCAAGCTTTTTATCTGAATTAAATCACGTCATGTACATATCTGTCCGGACACATGGTACTGTAGTGTTGACAATTTAGGTAATTTTCATACCCTCCTTGTCGAGCCTCAGATATAAGAGTCAATACATTCAGAAATAAACAAACTAGTTTGTTAGTTAGGAGAAGAACCTAGCTGAACTGTGTCAATTTTTTTTATCTCTAGGTTAAAAATTATGAAATCTGTACGGAAAAATGTTCAAAAAGTGTCCGGTTGATGGTCCCCGACCAGTAGAGGATTTGTGATATGAGAGGATCATTAGAACTACAAAAAAAACCTCAAGTCTTGCGTCTGTATATTCAATGAGTGAAATGTCAACTTGTGCTAATTTTTTTTAACCTTACTTAAATTAGAGTTTGTAGTAAAGCCTAAATCAAGGAGAAATTATTGTTTGGTAAAATTGATCTAAGGCATTTGATTATTCAATAACATTTTGTCGGCAACTGTCATTATCGGAAGTAAATTAACCATGCAGACTGATTTTGTATTATTGTTGGGACTAGCTTGTAAACTCAGATTTCAACATTTTTGGTAACAATTTTACAATTTTGAGAAAAAGCTAGGCTTCCACCTTCATGATGCAAGATAATTTTGACTTGCATGCAGTTAAAGGTGACAACATCTGATCATGAGGTTAAATAAATACTCCCTTTGTAGAATCGATCAACAATTGCAAAGGATTAAACTCTGATAAGCTATTCATAATGAGTTTACCAAGCAGACCTCCGTTGGAATCTAAAGATTCAAGTTTTGATGACCCACTGACAATTAATCCTTGGAAAGTTTTAGTGGACAACATATGTGAGAATTTGGACAAAGAGCTCTATACCAAGTTTTTGTTTCACTCAAAAGAGCTGGTACTTGATGACTATAATGCTCTAGAGAAGAATGGAGAGAGAGATGAGTACAGGCAATATTTTAGTAAACTGGAAGATAATCTTGGTGAAAATGGAGCAGTAGATCATCTTGAGCATCTTGTAAGACACCTTGGCTTGCATGGTGGAATGGGTAAGAGTTAGTGATATAAGAAATTCCTTTCTGAAGCAGTAAAGATAAAAAATACATGAAACTGAATCAGATCTGCAGGTGTACTTGAAGTTGAATTCAATCAACAAGTGCAATGTTATATTATAAATAAATACTTCTACGTAATTGATAGGGCGTCTGTGGCCGAGTGGTCGTTGACTTCAAACCACTTGCCCCTCACCGCTGTTGGTTCGAATCCTGACAGGGACTTTGGATTTATTCCTGTGTGGAAGCTATTCAGCTAGCTTAAGGAACGTCGATGGTTCTACTCAGGTGCCCGTTTGTGCCTGAAAATAATGCACGGAAGGACACCTGAGGTCTTCCTCCACCAGTAGTGCTGGAACATCGCCAAATGACCTATACTGTGTCGGTGTGACGTAAAACTCAATGAAACAAACAAACTTAATTGATCATAATTTTAGTTTGATTTATATTTTACATCATTTTAATTGTGTAAACAACACCAAAAACAGTTTGTCAAAGGACTTTTGGAGGGCACTGTATATTGATTGTAGAAATTGTAATGATTACAAATAAGGAAACAATTACAGTACAATTTTAGCAATTTTTAAAATGTATTCAAACACATTTGATTACTTTAGAAAATTGTAACAGATAACAATCAATTTCTAGCATAAAGTTATGAATAAATCATGCCTGCTTCAAAACCAAACATACAGTAATACAATTTTGGGTTTTCTTTCACACTTTGATTTAGCCTACTTCCACCAATTTCACTCCGTTACTCTACACTCCCTTGCAAAAATTAGTGGAGTGTCAGTAAAAATACAATTTTAATGAAATCGGCCTACTACATGTATGTGCAAATTCTGGGCCAAGAACCTTCTGTGAAGAGCATATTTTGTGCCAATGAAAAACTCTTTATAATTATATCCCCATAAACAAAGTTTGGGGGGGGGGTATATATAGGAGTCAGCTTGTCTGTTGGTTGTCTGTCAGGGCATCAGTACTTCGGTCCGCATTATGGTTTCCAAATGATAACTAGAGTTTGGAATGAGTCATTGTAATCAAACTTGGTATTTAGCAACCTTATGAGGAAATCCAGGTTGACATTGTATTAGGACCCTATGTAGGAATGAGATATTGTAATCAAACTTGGTGTTTAGCAAGCTTATATGAAGACCCCGGTTAGTATTGCAATTAATGGAAATAATTCTTTGTACACAGTTGATACTTCTTTTATTATAGGTTGATTTCAAACTTTTCTTCAGACCTATTATTAGTCACCTTTTATTTTTAAAAAGTCTGTGCCGGTGGAGTATTAATCTAGTGATAGCTCTAGTTTTTTGTTGATAAGGATCTAACATTTTAAAAGACTGGCAAACTTAAAAGAGAAGTTGTTAAAATGTCTGTTTAGATTTATTTTATTGTGATATTAAACAGGTTAAACAATGTTATTCAACATTGCTTTGTTTTAATATTATGCAGGTGAAATTAATTACACAGAATGGATTAGCAGTTACAAGGAAGCAAAGATAGAGTATATTCGGAAATGTGAGAGTGTTCTGAAGATAGATCCTGACTTTATTGGTAGAGAACTTATTCTTGAGGATACACTGAAAAATTTCAGAGCCTTTAAAGGTAAGTTTCGCCAGACTGTGTCTTTAATCATTCTATCTGCAAACTTAATTTTGCCTTTCTTTTCATTTGTAACCAGGTTTAAGACATTAAAGTGACATTTTTGTTCATGCAGGTGTAAATGGTGGATGTACAGATTGAAGTCAAAATTATTTAATAACTTTAGATTTTGCCATAATTGCATTCAATGTTAAAAGTTAAGGACATGGGTGTAATCAGAAACCAGTGTGAACGTGACTTCGCATAAATATACATCTGAATGTATTGTTAACATTCAATTGATAAAGGAGTGGGACAGTCCTTTAATACAATATTTTTATCAGTCGACCACAAAATAAAATTAAAATGATAAAAGAGGTTAAATTTTTTAATTTTCAAACATTTTTTTAACACTCTAAAAACAGATTTTTTGTCCATAAAATCAATGATTTTATAGTTTTGAAGTATTTTTGACATGATTTTAAACAAAATAATTGAAAAAAAATGTTTTAAGTCACTTTTGCTTTTGTTTAAAGTAGCTATTTAATGCTGATCTAGTTTTTATTGTGTCGCCTTGAAAAGGTGACATATAGGGGTTACTTATGTCGGCGGTGTCGGCGGCGGCGGCGTCTGTGTCGGCGTCGTTGTCGGCGTCGGCGTCCGCTAAAGCTTGTCCGGAGCATAACTCAGTCACTATAAGTCAGATTGACTTCAAACTTGGTATGCATGCTTCTTTCAATAACCCGAAGTGCAGTGCACAAGGACCGGTACTCTGCAGTTCTTATTTTTTGAGTTATTGCCCTTTGTTAATTTTCATACTTTAATTTTGTCCGGGCCATTTCTCTTCAACTAAAAAAAAGCTATGGACTTGAAACTTCATAGGATGATAGATCTCATTAAGAAGAAATGCAGTGCACAAGAACCAGTACTCTGCACTTCCTAATTTTTGAGTTATTGCCCTTTGTTAATTTTCATACTTATATTTTTGTCCGGGCCATTTCTCCTAATGTATAAAAGCCATGGACTTGAAACTTCATAGGATGATAGGTCTCATTAAGAAGAAGTGCAGTGCACAAGAACTGGTACTCTGCATTTCTTATTTTTTGAGTTATTGCCCTTTGTTTTATTTTCATACTTAATTTTTTGTCCAGGCCATTTCTCTGAAAGTATAAAAATTATGGACTTGAAACTTCATAGGATGATAGATCTCATTAAAAGAAGTGCAGTGCATAGAACTGATACTCAGCATTTCTTATTTTTGAGTTATTGCCTTTGTTGCTTTTTATTACTTTATTTTTGTCCTGGTCATTTTTCCTTCAAGTATGAAAGCTATGGACTTGAAACATCATAGAATGATAGATCTTATTGATAAGAAGTGCAGTGTCCGGAAACTGCTGCTCTGCACTTATTATTTTGTTAGTTATTGCCTTTTGTTATTTTTCATATTTCATTTTTGTCCTGGCCATTTCCCCTAAACTACATTGTTCACAAGGCGACACATCCGACTCGCGGAGTTCTAGTTAGATTTGTCTTTTCGCATTTAGGGCAAACATGCCACACAACTCCAAATTCATTGTTTAGTGTCTTCATTTCAAGAGTATCCAAACAAGGTCGTTTTGCCACTCTCAAGCTTTACTGACACAAGCTTACAACCAGGTAGAACCACCAACCTATAAGCTTACTACAGAAGAACAGAACAGTTCTGTTCTGTTCTATAAGCTTACTGATAGTTTCCTCACGGGAATCCAAATTAAGTTCCTGACAAGATTCTAATCCACAACACCACACAGGGAGAGTGATTTAAGGTCAGAAACCCTAAACCATTCACAGAGGTACAAACATAATAATGTACAATGTCAGTTTCACAAGGTAAATTGAATCAACAACTTCAAATTATCTTTAAAAGAGAGTAAGTTCTGTATGTGCAAAAAATTGCAATTTCTGAAAATTATTTATATTTCAAATGATTAGTAAAATGAAAGCCATTGACAGTAAATAAGAATCAAATGGCATACATTGTTACAAAATCAGGTTTTTCTGCTGAGAATTTACTATAGGCAATTTTTTACAGAAATGTCTAAGAGGACTTATGCTCATAATCTTACATTGAAAAAAGACCAATTTTCTCAATATTTATCTAGTAAAAAACTTCTAAAAAGACACATTACTACCTGTCATGATATGATATAAACTTAATAAATGTTATAGCTGACTGTGTTCAATTATAACAAGCCTTGTATTTCAACAAGACAACAACAAAAATCTGTCCACCAAACAACTTTCAGGAATTTATTATTTTCGTATAATAAATTAATCAATTGTTTTCAAAGATTAATAATAAAAAATTTTCACTATCAATTTACTAACAAATAAAACTACAATGTAAGTAGAACAGATATGAGTCAAATTTCGATAACTCATTTTTCTCAATACATGTATGTCGAAGTAAAATGTAAGTCCAGATTTTCCCCTTATATTTCTTTATAAAAACCTATTAATACTTGAGTCTAAATTTTAATGTGTCGAAATATTCTCATGGTCCGTGGTAAATTGAGTAATATTTCATTTTGACACCTTAGCAGTCGATCAACAGTGAAGATAATTCAAATCAACTTATGCAATGGATGTTAATTACCAGTCATGCTTTCTAAAAGCTTTACAGGCTATCATGTTTGATAAAATGCTCTAATATTTATTAGTTGTAATGAAAAGCGAACTTCCGTGACCCGGTGTCGCGTGATATTCACACGGGTTAATTTACTACAAGCTTGTAAAGTTATTGCCCTTCCATTTGTAACATTCTTGTAAACATCAAAGGGCCTAACTTTTGTCAGTTGTTTTAAGCAAGTTCCTTTGCTTCACCGAGGTTCTACCGTTAAGTATCGTTAAAAATTTAAGTGAAAAACATGTACCATACCAAGTAACTTTTAATTTTGACAGAAGTTGGTAAGAGAGGTTGGCGGGCAAAATGAAAATAAAAGTTCTTAAATGAACTTTTATTTTTATTTGATTTTCTCTAAAAATACAGTCGGCGGTCCCGTAAAACATTTTATAAAAAAAATGTTGGCCTAATTTTAGTATTAAACCTATACTCATTCAATATCCTCTACATCAATCTTTTTAAATATATTACCAATTCAGCTCAAAGTCGACAACAAAACATGAGCATGATGTCACTGTTAGGTTTTGAAGAGAGGGGTTTGTGGGAGGGATCTGAGAAATGTTTGAAATTCTTGTTAGACACAGTAAAATTTCAAAAGGATTTTTTGACATTTGTATGTTTATGAGAGGCTTATATTGCGCTATTATTGTAAATATTTCCAATGACTGTTTAACATCAAACATAAAACATTCTTTACCCAATACCTATTATAAGAACACTTCCAAACTTAACAGATTGCCATGTAATATTGTATTAAAGGTGTTACACATGTAGTCTATGTTTAATGAGAGTCCATCCAACTGTTAATGCACAAAAAGCCGCTTTCGCTGTTGAGTACGGATCCTGGACATGTCATCAGTCATGCCCTCAAAGACTTAATTCTAAATCACATAGTGGTGATGATTTACCTCCATGCAATTTCCATGGCATATTAGCCAAAGGTATGAGTTTTGAGCTAAAGGTCACTGTATGACGGTCAATGAGAACCAAAATGTACAGTAACCTGAGACAATAATGAAAGGAAGTAGCCCTTTAAAGGGCTGTTGATGCCAAGCAAAGGGCCGACTTTACAAACCGTCTATCTGTGCCAAGGGCCTAGCACCCTAGCACACCATCCTCATTGTCTCAGCCAACATTGTAGAGCCACCAACCTCAGCTTAAGTCAAGACATCAGCAGCTTGTCCCCAGTTGAAGACCAAGTAGCAGTCCTGTAAACAGGCAGGGTAATTAAAAGCCGTAAATCTTTGGCCGATGCCCTGCACCTTCTCAGCGAAGTGCACTCACTCAGGGGAAGTGAAAAGAAGGTGTTACACTGTGTGGTGTAAGTGACTTATATACCAATTTTTTTATTATATTAAAGGTGTTACATTGTGTGGTATAAGTGGAATGGGAAAGACCAGTTTGGCTGCCCAGGTGTGTGCCCGACTTGCATGCAGTAAACCAAAGTGGAGGATCATCATCCTCAATCAAAGGTATAATTAATTTTAGTGCAATTTCTTCTTGAATAATTAATTTTAGTGTAATTTGCTCTTAATTAATTATTTTTAAGTGTAATTTCATCTTCATTAATTATTTTAATTTTAATTTCTTCTCACTAGTTATGGTTATGATAGATTTATGATTATATTAAAGCTGCACACCTCCAGATGAACCAAAATATTTAAAGAAAAATCAAACTTTAAAAAAAAAGTACTTAGATGTTAAAAAAGTAAAATTATTCAAGATAAAAGTAATAATTTCTATGTTATGTGTGCTTTATGAAAGCAATGTCTTTAATCAGTGCATGATTTCTGCTGCTTAATAGAAGGAAAAATGATTTTGTTTGCTAAAAACTGTCTAGGAATAAATTGTGTCCAAATGTTTGAAATTCTATAAGAAATGGTACTCATCTTCCTTTTCAGTATAACATAATTTACATTTTCTAATCCACTACTTTCTCCTTTAACCTTGGAGTCTTAGAACAGAATGTAGTTTCAAAAAGAGCTTTAAAAATTAGATAAAAGCAATCTGGTTTACATTTAAAAAGCTACTTGCATTGCATAGATCTATTTATTTAAGAAATTGAAAGAGCAAAAGAAACTGTTTGAAATTTAAACATTTTTATTAAAGAGAAAAATCAGAACTCAACGACTTGTTGTTGGACATGATAGCAGAATTGAGTGCAGAATTAGATGGGAATGAGTACATGCAGTTACTGTCTGAAACAAACACCAACCATCTAAAGGTCAAGTGTAACAAACTGATAGATGAGGTTCTTGAAAAACAACTAAGTAAGTAGCTGTCTTGTTGAATTTTAAGCTCTTCTGGTGAGCTTTTGTGATCGCTTTTCGTCTGGCGTCCGACCGTTCATCTTAAATTCTTCTTTTAAAAATTCTGAAGAGCTAGAGCTAAGATATTAAGCATGAAACATCTTCTAATCTGTGTCCAAGTTTGTTCAAATAAAAGCCCTGGGGTCAATATTGGCCTACGTCCGGGGGGGGGGGTATTTTGATTTTCCTTATACTAGTATGTGTATAGTAAAAACGTAAAAAAAATCTTTATATGAAAATTGTAAAAACAAAAAAATCATCTTTTGAAAAACCCAAATAGCTAGAGCTTAGATATTGAGCATGAAACATCTTCTTGTGAGTTTCTACCAAGTTTGTTCAAATAAAAGCCCTGGGGGTCGAAATTGGCCCCGCCCAAGGGTGTCAATGATTTTCATTATTTTGTAGAGTAAAACTTAAAAAGTCTTCTTTTAAAAAACCAAAAGAGCTAGACGCCCATCCTCAATAATAAGGACCAAATAAGAAAAGTTAAATGATAAACTTTGGATTTTGCAAAAAGTCAAATCATTGTTTTTCATTCAAAACATATGTGTCTTACCCGGCTGTGTATTTTCCAAGGTATTCAAGAAAAATCATGGAAAAAACCATGGAAGTCCAAGCTTTAATGGCAGTTTTACTAGGAAACCTTGGACAATGTTGCAATTGTCCAAGGTGAAAGGTTTTTTTTCTAACTTTTCCTTGGACATATTCCATGGTTGTCTGAAAAATTCCTAGGAATCGCTTGGACAATACCTGGGAAAGTAAAACATAGTTTTTTTCAAGCTGGGAAAATGAACACATTCAAACACTTAGAAAATTTTTAGCTTGGAATTCACTTGGAAAGAAACACTTAGAAAATTTTCAGCTTGGACAAAGGACTTAGGCAATTTTTCTTTCATTTTTTCAATCATCCTAGTGAATGATAATGAATACTGAATTATTTACATTTATTGTCATTATGATGTGCTAGAAGGAACAGAATATTTAATCCTTTTCACAAGATATAAATAGACATTTTAAAGAAATATAATCATTTATTGATTTCTGTATTTAATTATTAAATATAAAGTTATTAAAAATATCAAATATATACATGTACATGCATACAATCTACTAAATTCATTGCATTACAGAGATGAATGATGTTGTGTATAATACATACATTTAATTTTTTTATCAAAACAGTATGGAAAATGTTCTGTTGGTTTCTAAGTTTCTAAATGCATGAGTATCTTCCCTGCAGTTTGTATCTTTAGACTTTTTTATTTCTTGACAGCATGTAGCAACAGTTAAATAATTTTAGAATGCTATTAAACTTTGATATAAGAGTTTATGTTTTTATGCCATATAAAATAGTACATTCTCTGAATATTTGTAGACATACATTTTGATTACACTTAAAATACTCTGCCACTTAGTTTATGTGTACAATAAACACAGTCATATAAATTATATAATAATTATTGCCCATTATATATATATGGCTTTATCTGCAAAATTTGTTAAATATAATAACCAGCTTGCCTAGTCAGGATAAATAAATACTAATATAACACACAGATCAGATAAGACTAATGATTACCATCTGCCCTTCCCTCTATCAATGCATGACTAATCTGACCTCATGGGGCATTCTGGGATACTGACCAGACTATTCCATTTGATTATTAAGGGAATCTGAGCATGATACATTTCTAAACAATCAGTTTAGAAGGTCATTGAAACTTTGATTTTTTTAAACACTTATTATTATTTTCAAATTCTACATTTATTTATCATTTGATATGTTTATACATTCAATAAATGTAAAAATACAATGATGGGTGTTTTGATATTTTTTTTGATAATCCCTGTTTCACATTATGATAGACCTGTCCAGACTGAAACCGTTGCAAAATTTGAAATCTCAGACATTCAGTGCTAACCATAAAGGATCTAAGTGGTATTTTAGCTATTTTGGAGATATCATCTTGTTTTTGAATATTGTGTACATTATTGTGGAATTTTCAAAGAAAACATTTATCTAAATGTGACAAGATTGTGGAATTGTTTGGTTGTTGTAATTGAACTAAGAATGACCTGAGGCAGGAAGTTATGCAAGAATCATAGTAAACAGTTTCAGGTAAATAACTTTTAGATACATTTATGCAGAAAAATGGTTATTTTAAACAATCAAAATATATTATGGCAGCAAGCAAAAATGTTTCTATAAAATAAGGTTGATAAAATTATGCTGTGAATAATTATTTGATAATTAGATCTAGATTTATTACCAAAATTATTTAATTATTTCTATATTGAATCAGTTATTTGTTTAATTTACTTACTGAAATTCCAAGTTAGTATGCTCAACTTAAATTTTGAAGATAAAAAGTTTTAATGGAAAATGAAGATTAAGGAGAATTCAATGCATTTAATGTTAAAATAGACTAGATATACTGAAACTTTGCTTACTTAAATTATATTATTCCAGGAACAGCTGTATGGATATGTAAAGTACAGTGATGACTTCTCAAAAGCCAGCAAGCTCCTGTTCAGACTTTATATAGTGTTGAAGAATACAGGGGCAGGTGTTTTACTGGCAACAGTTACCAACACTAAAACCAAAATCAATTAAGGCCAGCATTGGAGGACACAATATTACTGAAAGTCTTTCATGGTTTGTATAATTTCATTTCCTAGAATTGTTATCAAATTTGAACATATTAATCTTTTTTTGCAGTATTTTACAGTTTTACACAGCATTAAGTTGCAACTAATGTAGTTAAACTCTAATGTCCTTATACATAGTTATTCAAAGTAAGTAAAATCTGTATCAATTAGGAAGTCTTATATATATATATATATATATATATATATATTTATATATTGTTCTTTTAACCTACATTTGTACTGAGTAATGATAATGATAATTGTGCAAGGGAAATATAAAATTATGTTGTCGTTCAAAATATATTGTTTAAGACTTGCATTCCTCATTTGTTACTACATGTATAATTAAGTGTTTTGAATGTAGTTTTTAATGACATTTTAATATTTTTATTTCAGAGTTGATCAAGAGAAAATGGCCATGATTATGTGACTTGAAGCTGTCCAGAAATTGACATTGACATTGATGTTACCAAGCGGAATAAATATTGTTTTAATATTTATAATATTTTATGTTTTGTATTCTACCAGTGTAACATATAGTGTTTAAAAATCATGGAGAGCGAGTTCGTCAATATGTCAGGGATTTAAAGGCAACTAGTTATAAGAATGATGAAAATTCCATATCTCAAAGGGGCTATTGTAAAAAAGCACAGAAATTACAAGCATCAAAGATACAGCGTCTATGGCTTTGCAAGATCATGAAGATGTCAAAGTATTTTCCCAGGTTTTCCAAGTTTTTTTTCACTTGAAGAACCTTGGACAATTCCAAGGAAATAACATTGGACTTCCATGGAAATGTCCAAGCTTTCCGAGGATGTCTATGTACATGTCCAAGCTTTCCAAGGATGTCCAATGAAAAAACCTTGGTCCCAATACTCCAAGGTTTCCAAGGTTTATGGCATATGTTCATGGAAACCTTGTACAAGCTCCAAGGTTTCCAAGCATTTGTCCAAGCATTTGTCCTAGGAAAGACCCTGCCATTTTTGTTCTTAATTTACTCTTATTGTATTGAAAAAGTATACCCAATACTCCAAGGTTTTTTCCATGAAAAATTCCCTGATATTGTCCAAGGAAACCTTGGAAATTGTTCAGCCGGGTAAGTATTTGAAATAAAAACATTTGCGCCACATGAACAGTGAAATATGTCTAAGTCGGATGTTTTAAAAATGTATCTGATAAATCAAAGATATTTACGTTACTGACTAATACATTTATGGTTAAACGAAGTTTAAGAATGAAAAACTCCAAACTTGTCAAACAAAATTTATTTCATCAAAAGAACATATAATACAATGAAGATATGACTGTTTGTCACAAGACTATTCATTAAGATATCTTAGCAGTAAGCATTTGATGATGGCAAATATTTTAAGTCAGTACATAAAAATACAAATGCTTATATAACACACCTTTTGTAAGTTGTATTTTTAGCTCGACTTTTCTATGAAAAGGGGAGCTATCCTACTCGCCCCGGCGTCGGCGTTGGCGTCACACCTTGGTTAAGTTTTTCGTACCACCCCACTTTATTTCAGAAGTATTACAAGTATGGCTTTTGAAACTTACCATACTTGTTCACCATCATAACCTCCATCTACAGACAAGAGTACATAACTCTGTCAAGGTTTTTGACAGAATTATGGCCCTTTTTAGCTCGACTTTTCTATGAAAAGGGGAGCTATCCTACTCGCCCCGCGTCGGCGTCGGCGTTAGCGTTGGCGTCACACCTTGGTTAAGTTTTTCTACCACCCCACTTTATTTCAGAAGTATTACAAGTATGGCTTTGAAACTTACCATACTTGTTCACCATCATAACCTCCATCTACAGACAGGAGTACATAACTCTGTCAAGGTTTTTGACAGAATTATGGCCCTTTTTTGACTTAGAAAGTGTATTGAGCTTGGTTAAGTTTTTTTGTACCACCTCACTTTATTTCAAAACCATTGGAGGTATTGCTTTGAAACTGACCATACTTGTTTACCATCACGACCTTCATCAACAGACAAGAGGACATAACTCTGTCAAGGTTTTTGACAGAATTATGCCCCTTTTTGACTTAGAAAAATACATTGAATATGGGTAAAATCCACTTATTGCCTTAACCCTTTGAGATATTGCTTTGAAACTTTTAATGCTATTTCACATCATTACCCCATCTGTACGCAAGAGAAGGTAACTCTGTCAGGGATTTGTTTTAAAAATTAAGGCCTTTTATCGACTTAGAATCTTGGTTAACTTTTTTGTACCAGTCACTTTTTGACTGAACTGGTTGAGATATTAAATTGAAAGTTGGAATACTTGTTTACCATCATGG